GGTGTATTAGTTATTCTTTTCTGTTTGTCACATAATTCTATACGAAGATTCCACCCTTTCACTGCTTGATATTCGTTTTGAAGAAAGCTCTAAAATATGTCGATAAAAGAAAATGACAGAGTGCACCTTCAAGACGTTAACAATTTTCTCACTAGTGTAAAGAAATGGGAACCCCAGTTGCAGAAAACAATGGCTGTGAAAAGGCTGATAAATCAACGGCCATCCACCAACTATGGGTCAAATAGCATAACCAAACCGAGATTAGCCAAGCATGGTGACTACGGCCACATCGCGAAGATATAGTCAACCAGGAAGAGGTTCCACCAACAGGTGTGGGAAGGTACTTGATTTAGAGTTGGGTGCGGCTCTCAGTAGATTAATAGTGACTTTCTAAGCGCTACTTAGATGTGGCACAAGGCTGGAAATATGGACCACCCAGTGAGGATCAAACTCACTACTCAGTCGTAATATGTTCTAGCAAGACAAGCTTGCCAACCATTATTACACCACACCGAGGTGCCCAAATAATGATTTTCCAAGCGGAGCTCAGATGTGGAACAAGGCCGAAAGTATTAGGCACCCAGTGAGGATCGAACTCACTACTCAGTAGTAATTGTTCTAGCGAGACAAGCTTGCTAACCATTACACCGCCTCGGGGTGCCCTAGTAATTTTCTGAGCGTAGCTTAGATGTGGCACAAGGCCGAAAGTATGAGGCACCCAGTGAGGATCGAACTCACTACTCAGGCGTAATTGTACTAGCTAGACAAGCTTGCTAACCATTTAACCGCCTCGGGCTGCCCTTCTCAGTAGATTAATATCATAATCATGTTCGATTCTCATCGATTTAGTAGTTATTTCTTACTATTTAGAATTTCTTTCCTCGTAATTTCTAAACATAAGAAAGAGCAATGATCAGTAAATTCTGAAAATGATTAAGAACGAAAGACTAGTTCATAAAAATAATGATAAAATATTGACGATAATATATTACCGGTTGATACTCCTCCCCCATAATTTGGACAGGAGTCGAGGTTTATCCCTTGTTCCTGTTTAGGATTGGAGTTTCCAGTTCCTTCTAAAGTCTTCTCGTTCTCTTTCACTTCCAGTATTCCCTGGCGTCTTAGTAGCATTATTGCCTTGTTTGGAGTGATTTGATTTAAAAATATATTGTATGCTATTCAGAATTACTTTCAACCTTTCTGTCTGTTGGAGAAGGTTTTGTAAATAAATATCGTTCGTTTTCCCTTGCTTCGCTGTGCTTAACAACGTGTCAGGCCTAATAGATTTCAGCCGCTAACATAAGCTTCCCCTGAGGGAGTTTCTTCTTTCCGAACCCAAAATAAGCAACGACCTTGTCAGTCGTCTATTCACTTTCGTTTAAGCACATGAAGATCGAGTGGAGGGCAAAAGTTAAAGAAGACCCTAGACAAAAGGATGTGCAGAGAAAAGGACGTGATTTCATTTGACTGGAGTCAATCAGCCGTAAAAAACACTCATTCTGGTTGACGGTACATTTTCATCTTTGGTCAAAGTAGGAAATGTTAAACATTTTAATAATAATTGAGTTGGATAAACATGCACAAAATTCAGTGACAGTGGAAATAGATACGAACAAAATTTTTTAACAGTTTTGAGATTTTTTAATAATTTTCAATGAAAGAACTAGTGGTAGTAAAAAGAAGATTCAGTTCATCTGAGATTTTCCTGTAACTTTTACCGTCTTTTCAGAGCTTAACAATCATTTCTTGTTTCGAATTTGTCGCTTCTTTACCGCTTGCCATGATCAAAACCTTCTTGCATGAATATAAATTATAAAATGTTCTGTTCAGGCTAAAAATAACATTATTGGCACATTCTAGATTATTCCACGTGAATAATCTAAAATATTAAAGCAATTTAAATGTTTTAAAATCTGAAATTTGCATTTTACAAATATTTTTCCCTCATTAGAATGAATGAATTGGATTTATTTCTATTAAATAATTCTTTTATGTTTCTATGCATATTATTTATTATACATCTGTGTACAGTTAATTATATAGAAATCATGTTTATTCATTAGTTGGAAATATAATAAATTGAATATTTCTATATGCACGAATATTTGTTTGCCCCAGCATTGTATTTGTCTCAGTTCCTAGGAGTTAAAGAACATGTACCGCCAACATGTTGCTTAATATTGAACATACATGATTAAAAATACCCTAAAATTTATTAAAACAAAGTCTTGTTATCGAATGTTTTATTTTTTATTAAAAGGAAAGTCCAAAGTATGTTTTATTATTGAATTATATTTTTTAATCCTTTTTAGAATCTCCGAAAATATGGTTAACATTTTGAGTTATTTTTGTTGATTTTTTTTTTTTGAGGCAATGCGTGACTATAAATTAGTATGAGAAATTTGAGTGTATTTTGCGGTGAAAAACCTTATTGATTTCAAAATTCTTAATTCTTTAAATTCAGTTTAAATACAATAAATTATCGGTAATATTAAGTTTAATGTAATAATTTCGAAATAAATTTATATAAGATCCTGAAATTTTTCTTATTTTTAAAATGCATTTTAAACCTCAGGTAGCGTTATTTTGTGAACAAGACATGCCTTATGGCGAATTACTAAACACTGCTTAGATGTCTCAAAAAGCTGAACGTAATAAGCACCCAGTGAGGATCAACATCACATAACTGATCATGCCAGAAATGATTACTTAACGGATGTGCCCAAACATGTTTCGATAATTTTCGGTGGAAATCGATAAAACTCTTATACTTGCCAACTCTTCACTATAAAAACTGCATTCCCCCTCCACATTTTACCCAACCAATCGATCTCAGTCAACCTTCCCTCCTCACTCTCTCTCTCTCCACCCTTTCTCTGCTTCTTAATTTGACTTAAACATTTCTGATATAAATCATGTAATAAAATAACAAACGGAGGGACAGCTTTCCTATGAACGATGTGTTAAACTTACTTGTTAACCTTAACTTACATAATCGCTATTCCCTCTATCTTCCTATATTCTTTATCGCTTTTAGTCAATTCCTCTGTCCATAAATCGATGTATTTAATTTTTCTTTCTTTCTAAGTATACCCACGTGGGAACCACATATGTCTCAGTAACGTATATAAAAAAGAACTCAGCGTGTATATTTTATTGACTTTCTAATACAATATATTCACCAGAGTACTACAGACTACGCCAATAGTGCACGGAAGATGGACCTCGACAACGTTGGAGAATAGTAAAATATTTCTATTCATGGTATTTAAACGCACATTCACTCGAACGGAATAATACACAGTAGGGGTTGAATTTAAAGTTCGATTCCCGCGCGTATATGTTATAAATAAAAAACAAAAAAAATAACGATCAGCTATATTGATACTTGTCCATTGGGATGTCGCAGGTATCAGGGATTACCTCTGTTTATCCCCGTTTTACACCTTCAAACAATTTTATCCGCAGAATTTATATTTTGGAAATATAAGAAAAACGCTTGCTTCATTTACCGTTTGCTTTGTTTTACACTTTAACTTTTTTTTTAAAAATGTGGGTGCATTGTGGTGATCGACAAATACATAAATAAAAATGAAGAGTAATAACAAGACCAATATTTCGTCATTTTTAAAAATAGACGGAAAATAAAAATCGCCAGTCAAACAATGCCATAGTTCGAGCAACATATCAGAATGTTTTCAAGTCCAGGATATAAGGCCACGAGCCAATGAGAAGTGAGCTGTATTTAATGAGCGGACCTATAGATCTGTATATAAACTGAAAATCAGTCACAATGAGTGGGAATAAAATAATTTTGTCCATTTTCAGATGCTTTGGCTTGGTAATATACAAAGTGATAAAATATGTAATTTGTACGACTAGCTGGCGAACATAGACGGCTAACCCTTCCTTCCTATATTGAAAACATACCTTCCATCAGCGCGTCGTGAAATGTCGGCTAATACTTTTGGATACATACATATGCAAGTATGTCATGCCTCCCCCACGAATCTATGATACGGGACCACCACTCTACTACGTCTTAATTTTCATAATGGAGTATTCATATAAAATATAAATTTTATTGTAACATAATTATGCATAATAATGAATCATATGCAGTATAGGTGAACAATTCAACTAGAAAAATCGAAAATAAATACAATGTATCTCAATGAAAATTAGAGACATATCATAATACATCATTCCATCTTAAATAAATCAAAGATATATTGTGGCAATTTTTAAGATCAACTTGAGTTTTTTTTTCTTGTTATAAGGTGAATACTTTAAGACATTCAACGTTGTGGATAAAAAATAGTGAGTTTTATTGTGTTTTTTTCTAGATTTATTACGAGCAAAACAAATTCATGGATTTGGACGAAAAAGTAAAAATACAGAATAACGTCAAAATCCGCCAAAAAGATTTTATCCTTTAATGGTAACCTGTTCTTAGTTTAATTTGGAATGTATATAAAGAGTAGGGAGAACAAAAGCAAATATTGATAAGGGGGTCTCAAAGCACTGCCTGGGACCCACAAACAGTGTTCGCCAGCCCTGGAGACACACACACACGCACAGATATATATGTATTTATTTTAATGCTATTCTTTCCTGGTCTAATTCGTCTCTGACAATTAACTTATATATATATATATATATATATATATATATATATATATATATATATATATATATATATGTATGTATGTATGCTTCCGATCGGGCTCATTTTTTTATCTCTCGTTATGCACCACGATCTTATACACTTGAACTCTTGAATCTCCAACATACACCTTAAACTTTTTTATTATTATATTATGATATTGTCGCAAAATTCGGTCCAAACAATAGGAAGGGAACGGGTTGGTCTCGTAAAATTAGGTCCAAACAATAGGACGGGAACGGGTTGGCCCGGCACCGCCTACTTCAGGAAACACTCCTCAGCTTAACGACAGCTACAATCCAGCTACAACAACTCCACAGATCTTTGCACTCAAATGTTCCAACACCGCCTCGTAGTTCGCTACACACAACTCTCGAGTGGTCTCCCGCCGTCACATTTATCCCAGCGAACACCAACCAATTTGCATACGCCCAAGTTCTCCTCTCACCAATCCTCGCGGCTACGAGATCGCGTTTCCATAAGTCCGACTCACCGTAATGGTGGTGTTTCTTTCTTCGGACCAATTACTGCCCTACACGCCAGACACAAACGAACCCTCTTATGCCGAGAACTGAGGTTAGTCTCATTTTCATGTCCACACCCCCTGGTCTCAAGATCACACATGTGGCATTGCGGACGCGGTCGTTTGTTGCGGGCACCCTACGAAGGGGATTGTCTGGACTTCTTCATCGGGACTCTCAGAAGGGGCGGCAGAACTATCAGCATCAGCGTCGGGGTCCGCAGTCAAACCATCAGGCCCGAGGGGCATAGGTCGGATCCACAGTTCATCGCTGGATGATTCACCACTGCTGCTACTAGTCAACTGGTTCGTATTTAGAGCGGGCCGGACATCCTTCACATGGCGTGGAGTACCATCGACCAGCACTGCTTGCTCATTGACGATGCCGGTGATTCGTTTTCTTTGAAAGCTGGTGGTGCACCGGCTATTGGGAGGTTTCACCCAGACGGTGTCCCCTAACTTATACGGCCCTCGTGTTTCCCGCCGATCAGGCAGACACGCGTCAATGCCCTTGTTGCGCACTTGGTAGCGATGGATTGCATTGGCGGGTGCGCTTGCAGCAGTCACGGCATCCTTTGGTGTTGCATTATATCTATAGACCGCTATCGTGCACTGCTTCCTGGCCGCGATCCTCTTCACGCTTCGGTGGCACCGCTCTGCTATGCCGTTGCCACTCGGCACATATGCACATCGGTGTCTGGAGCCGGATCCCCACTCGTCTACGAAACGTCTAAACTCCCCGCTGCAGAAGGCCGTGTCGTTATCCGTAAGGATCTCTTCAGGCGGCCCCTTTCATAAAATATGGACTCCAATTCTCGGATGACACTGGATGAGTCCTGTCTTACTAATGGGCGCCAGATTGCGAACCTCGTCGGTCCGCAATCTATCAGTGTGAGGAATGCTGGATGCCGTAATGGGTTATGTCCATACCCAGTCGGCCCCAAGTCGTGTCTACCCCAGCCGACCCTTCCGCCATTTAGCTGGGGCGGGGTCGATTGACTGGCATGTTTGGCATTCCTTCACCACCGCTCTGACTTCACTTTTGGACACTGACGGATTGGTCAACTGTACAAAATAGCATGTCCGTCTCACTCCGGGGTGCCCACTGTTGTGGTGTATCTCCTGATTTTGTCCGCCGCCTTAACATAGGCAGCACATAGTAACGGTACTGGCTCAGTTTCTTTCTTCATGGCGCCATACCATCTCTGTGGCACACGAGTGAGCCTATCAGCAAGGTTGCAGTTTGAGGTGACAAGCACCGCATCCATAGATAGGTTGTACTCTGTTACCAGCTTTCTTATGGTCTCCAACCTCCGTCTGATCAGCATCTCGCTAGCCGCCTTGGTACGCACCCTGGCCTTGCCTGTCAGTGTGTCCGATATCCAGTGGTACACACATAACGAATCAGTGTGTATGTAATTTTTAACTTTCCACTGGAGTGCCAGGTTGATGCCTTTATCACCGCATCGAGCTCTGCCAGGTTGATATGAGCAGCGTCATTCACAGGTCGCAACCAGCAGGCGTCCTCAATCGCAGCCCCATTCTTCTCCAACAGCACACCAATCGCCAGAGAACTCGCATCCACCCACACGTTCAGTTCGTCTCCCTGCACGCACCAGTCTCCTTTGGCGGGGTCATCCTGCTTTACTCTTGCGATGGTCTCCTTCATCATGCGAACCAACAGATCGTCCGTTGTTTCATCGTCCCAGCCTTTGGTGACTGCGCTTGCCCTTCTTTTTATGGTGCCTGTTGCCACACGAGTCCATCCCACACTGGTAGATGCCCCACAAGTCTTCCACACAGGGAGAATATAGCTCGCCTCGTGAAGACATGGGGTACTTCAGGAACTGCAGTTCCGCGCCCCCATTTTAAGGTCTCTCGCTCCTGTTGAACGTTCAGGCCCAAGACTCGGGCACCATCCTCCAAACGTTTTGAGTCCTTACAAGTCAGACCAAACTCAGCCAGTTTGGACCTCACGCGTGATGACGACACAACGTCTTCGTTCACATATATATCATCAAGGTACGCCGATGTCCCCTCTTTATTGTTTCTTCCTGTGACAACACAGCGTTGACGATGGTCTTCATTATTTGGGGTGCCACGTTCAGCCCGAAGCCCTGCCTAGTAAGGCAGTACCTCCTGCCGGCAAACACCACCGTCTGAAACGGCCACATCGCCTCGCTGACCCGGACCTGCAGGTACGCTTTTTCTTAGATCCAGCAGGGACACATTGGAACCCTGCTGGCGCCATTCTCGTAGCTTGCTGGCACAAACGTCAGCATCTGCCGTGAACGCATCAACATGCGCGTTTAGTTCGCGGTAGTCCATCACTGGCCTCACCTTTGCTTTGTTGTGCTGAGCAACCGCCATCAGCGGGATCAGGCCTTTGGGAGGTCCAAGTTTCTCATAGGGTAAGGAATCAACCAGCCATCCTTGATCCATTCACGGAGCTCCCCTTCGTATGCAGGCCTTATTTGATCGGGCACATGGTACTCGGCTACCTCGTTCCGCAGTTTGGCTGGTTCCTGGTTTTCCGACCACCTCCATGAGGTGGTCCAAGTCTTCTGCTGCTGGTCAAATTCGACACTAAAGTCCGGCTGGTCGATCCTCAGAGCTGCGCACACTGGGGCCCTCTCCTGAAACTGTACTGTCCCCGTCTGCGTTATGTGAACACCACCTAAAGCTCTGATGGCATCATAGCCTAGAAGCAGGTCAAAACTCAGTGGTTTTTCGAACACTACTAGCGCCTCGATGTTGGCCGAGTTTCCAGTTCTTGTACGGATGTTCACCGCGCGTACCCCGCAACACCTTCGTGTTTCTCCACTGATGGTGGTCACCCCTGACACTCTTCTTCTTCCAAGTGCGGCAGAGGTCCGCGCACACTATGGTGCGGGAGCAACCGGAATCGAGAAGTGCTGAGCACAATGTCTCATTAATGTAGACCTGGATGATCGGAAGCGCCTCATCTAATTTCTGCTTGGGGAAGAGGTCGACGCTGGCACCTTGTCCCTGGCCCCGTTTCCCGCACAATCCCGGACCATATGTCCAGTCTCATTACACCGGTAGCAGCGAACAGCTGTCAGTCGCCTCCTGCAGTTCCTCGCAATGTGGCCCTGGCCACCGCACCTATAACATACAACCCCACTACGGGGGCTGGGCCCCTGATACGGTCTATCATCACTCGGCGTGGACTGTGCAGCGGCGACTACCGGTTCTCTCACCTCAGAGCTGTCTTTCATCACGGTCCTGGCCCGGTCTACCAGGTCATTGAGGGACAACGAGTCTATGCTTAAGCTCACTCGCAGGAGTTGCTTTGCTCCGGTTGGGAGCCCTGCCAGAAATTTGTATGCCAAGGCCCGCTCGGGCAGTCCACCGAACAACACCGTCAACTTCGTCAGCTCGGCCAGATACACGTCGACAGTTTCGCCTGGAAGTAAAGTTCTTGCCTCGAATTGTTCCCATGCAGTGGCGGGGTCGATAGCAAACGCCTTGTATAGTGCTGCCTTGATTCTCTTATAATCCTGTTTTTCCTCAGCACTGAGCTGTTGATACACAGCGAAAGCCCCGCCAGACAGCCGCAGAGGAATCACATGTTCAATGCACTTTATGCCAGACAAGAGGCAATGCAATTCCACTTTTTCCACCCAGTCAATACCGGGGTTGAGCCATCGAACTCCGGAATCAATTTCAGGTCGAATCTGTCCCCCATTATGCCGAAATAGCTTGTCTCAAAATTCGGTCCAAACAATAGGAAGGACGGGAACGGGTTGGCCCAATAGGACGGGCACCGCCGCCTTCCGGAAACACTCCTCAGCTTAACGACAGCTACAATCCAGCTACAACAACTCCACAGATCTTTGCACTCAAATGTTCCAACACCGCCTCGTAGTTCGCTGCACACAACTCTCTCGAGTGGTCTCCCGCCGTCACATTTATCCCAGCGAACACCAACCAATTTGCATACGCCCAAGTTCTCCTCTCGCCAATCCTCGCGGCTACGAGATCGCGTTTCCATAAGTCCGACTCACCGTAATGGTGGTGTTTCTTTCTTCGGACCAATTACTGCCCTACACGCCAGACACAAACGAACCCTCTTATGCCGAGAACTGAGGTTAGTCTCATTTTCATGTCCACAGATATATAAAGACTTATTTGTATTTATCAACACTAACTGTTAAGCAAGGCCAATATACACCCAAAATAAATAAACTGATAGATAATGAGAACAGATGATGTCGTAAGTGAAAAACACTCTAAAATACAAAACGTAAACTAGCATCAAATATATGTAGCTGTTCAGCTGTTTTTTTTTTTTTCATTTTTTTTTTCATTTTTTTTGGTGATTACTGAAGAGTTAATTGGATCCCATTTGGGTGACCTACACTTGATCTTGCACCAAACTATGTTGGGTGAATTACAAATAAAAATTAGGCTCGGGTCTTAGCTACAGTCCATTCAAAAATTACTTCTCCTTCAGGACTGATTGATGGGTTTATATTTTAAGGCTTATCAACCCGTTGTGGGTTATTTAAGACTGAAATGTATTTTGGATTGTGAAAATATTTCTTGCATTTCTGTAAATTAATATTTCATTAGCATTTTTTTTTAAATAAAAATGATTTCTTCTAGTTACCCCATAGACGGTGGGATGCATTTGCATTCATATCTTTTTCCGAGAAAATCAAATGCAACAAATTCGACTAGATTTCTAAAACGGGGCCCCGATTTCTCCTTCCAAATATATATACATTAGTCTAGTCTCCTTCGGGAGACACCTGACTCATCCCGAAAAGGAATTAAAAATGAGCCTTAACCAATGTTTGGATGGATACCAGGGCCCATTTTAAAATTCGATCTCATGTTAAATTCTATATGTGTGGGCGCATTGGCAAATATCCGTATAAAAATAATAGAATAGTGTTGAGAAAAAACAACTGCCAGCCTAAAAATAGCAGAGAAACAACTGCCAGTCTCAAAATACCCAAAAAAACAATTGCCAGTCTCAAAATACCAGAAAAAACAACTGCCAGTCTTAAAATACCCAAAAAACAACTGCCCGTTTCAAAATACCAGAAAAAACAACTGCCAGTCTCAAAATACCAGAAAAACAACTGCCAGTCTCAAAATACAAGTTTATCACAAAAAATCGAGAGTCACTAGAAACAATCTCTCATCACGTCATTAAAAAAGACGTAAATTAAAAAGCAAGACAGTCGTCAAATTTAGAAATACGTCTTTAAAAAAGTGCTTGCCGCATCGTGTAATATCTCCCGCGACGATTGCTAACATACCACGATGTTTAAGCAAACAACATTACTATAATTATATTACCTTATCAGTAAAAGGCTGTCTATTCTATACACAAACTTGACTATAACTAATAAGAATATAAAATAGCATAAAAATATGCAGACAAATACATTATTCATCTCTAAAGTTTGAAAATGTAAGTTAACAATAATAGTGTCTTTTACGGTATCTCATTAAACAACTTACGATCATGCCAAATCAAAGCATAAAGGGACTTTTTAAAAATAATTATCTTATAATTATAATTACTTAGAGGACTCTTTTTGCATGAAGTTATAACTAAGATAGATTAATAAGGTATTTATATATTATATTTTAATTAAATCAAATGCAAAGACAGCTTTTTTGATTGTGTAAATACCGAATGTTTTAAATCATATCCCTCCATGCAAGGCAGTAAATCCACTAAGATACAAGGAATTACTGAGTGTGAAAGAATAAGTAAAATAGAGAAACTTCATCAAAGAGTGAAAACAATAAAAGTGTAAAAGAGAAGAGAGTAGATAACGATTGATATAGTATTTAAATTTTTGAAGATCAAAGTTTGCCGGAAAGCATAGACGCGAAAGAGAGTTCGAGAAAATAAACTGTTAGCATTGTACTTAGTGTTAAATTGTGAACTCATGAGGCATTGTCTCGAATCTAGTATACGCTTGAATTTATAAAGTTTAGGTACCATTGTGAATAGTTAACATGAAAGTATTTACAGAAAAGACACAAGTAAGATGCAATAAGGCGGTGGGAAAATGATTAAGCCGATCTATCATGTCAGGGACAATAATATTGCTGATTATAATTTGCAGAAGCATCGTATGTGGCAGCAATAGTCAAAGCATGGACGAATTGTATATATTTACAACTACTTTGATGGCAATTGCTCCGAGGAGCTGCATTCGCTGGTTCTCAGACTTCATGAGTTCCAGCGCCCTACAAGGCTGGCATCCAACTCTCACCCTTTCACTGTCGAAACTTCTAAATGTAGCCGTCTCTTCTACTCCAATAGCTTCCTGTCTAGCACCTCTCGCCTGTGGAACTCCCTTCCCTATTCCAGTTTCCCTGAGAGCTATAATCTCCAGCTATTCAAATGTGTGTGTGTGTGTGTGTGTGTGTTTACGTGTGTGTGACTGTGTGTGTTTGCATAAATTAACATAGATTTAAGGGAGACCAATTTTCTAGCAGGATATAGTGATCCAAATGTATTAGCAGAAAAACTTACAATAGATTCAATATAATCTTTCCCTTTCATGGCAGCCAAGAATATAAACCAGTGAATTGTTAAGAGTAACTTTCACAGCGTCACTCTGTCTTACACTTTTATTGTTCTCACTCCTTGGTAATGTTTCTATTTTATTAAAATTATTATTTCACACTCAGTAATTCCTTGGTGATATTAGCAGGGAGAGGTCTTTCGAGGGATTGACAGAGAAAAACTTCGTTTTAGAGACTCTAAAACCCACAAGACATTCCATGTCCAAGTTAACAACAGACTAAGTAATATTTTTTTAGATCAGCTGCCAATTTGAATTTATCGAACTAATCAGACTTATTATCAAGGCAGTTATTATCATTTATTATATTTTCGTCCGGAAATATTATATCCTTTCAACTTATATATATATATATATATATATATATATATATATATATATATATATATATATATAAAAAATGGTACGCTAAAATTGTTAAACATTTTCGAAATATATAGATTATTTCTGCAATAATTGTTAATGCATCAGCAGTCGATCGAGAGAAGCGAAATATATTGCTTGTCTGAAAGAAGTCACTGCCAAGGGAAATACTTAACCAGTTGAGAGTTTAATTAGTTTCTTAAGAAGAATAGAAAGCTAATAGCCCGATACTTCAAATGGTCAGTCGGTTCATCTGCGTTCTTGAAGACTGGAACAACAGAGGAGGATTTGCAACAAGCGGAAAACGCAGAGATTGTGGGACATTTACTGTACAGTTTAGAGAGTTGAAATTAAATGCTCTATCAAACCTTGAAAACAGTTGTGTTTATTCCGCAGGTGGATTTCTTTAACTTAGGTAACAAATAAATGCAGTCATGTGTCTTTGTTCATTAAGTAAGAATAAATTAGTATTTTGTCCAACTATGTCAATTACTATCATACTATTTGTGTCTTGAAAAGGTGAGATAAGAAACTGATAAACAAGAATTAACTGGACGGAATAAATATTAAGTGCTTTCAGAAAATTTCACAGAAAGAAAGAAGCGATTAATCAGGCTGAGGAAAAGAGAAATTGAGAAAAAAAAAGACTTCAACTGTTTTTTTTTACCATTTCGAAGTAAAACCTTTATAGAATAAAGAGTATCTCAGCCATCGATCTCGAGGTACCATGGATCAGCGTCGAAAGAGTTATGCCTTAGCTGCGTCTGTTATGGCTGTACAGGCCCACACGGGTATAAGTCTCGATTGGAACGAATTCATATAAAGACACTCTTCACCGATGTTGCGGTGTTGTTTTCCTACGAGCACGCTTCATCCCGGCAGTCATTTCTCAGATTCGCCTCTTTTCGTTCCATCCCACGGTGAAAATCGCGTCTCTAGCGTGAGTGATCTTTGGCGAAGTTTTCCCACCTCTCGATGTCGATGAACATCGCCCTCATGTCCCATTTGCAGACGTATTGAATTCGCACTCCTCTCCTCTTGCCGTTGGCTATTTCCCCGTAGAGAAAAATCGTCGGAAGCCTCCCGTATAACGATAAATTAAAAATGTTTAAAATGTATAGAATAGTAAACATTTTTAATTCTTCGTTATTTGCAACTCAAAATTATTTGTTTGGTGAAAAACAATTTACGTACCCATACCTAGACTTTTGCCATATCTAACTAATTTTAGAAAGAATATAACACTCAGAGGACATTGAATACAAGAAGGATAATAGCAAAGAACAAATAACTTAAGATTTTGGAAGTAGATTAGCAAAACATGGATTTGGAGGGATATTAAAAAAGACAAATATTACTTAAAGCTGCAAAAGATAAGAAGCTGTGGAGAATCATGATCGCCAACATTGTGAAAGGATATATCGGCTCAGAGACGAACAATAAATATAAATATATAGTCAGAATATTTGTTTAATTTTTCTTTGACTTTATTCTCCTCGAAACATAACCTAAAAACATACATAGATTTTTGTATTAAGTACGCGTTAAAAATCATTTCAATTTTCTATCAGCTCATTTGAATACCTGCTGATGAAAGCTGATGAATAAATTGAATGATCAATAGAAATTAATGTAACCTCTCTTTTAACATACGACAGTTAGTACCATTTGTGCTTTTTTATGAAAAGTTATTGCCAAAATTTACAGAACTAAATAAAATGAAAGCACTGCTTTGGAAGCATAAATGTTAAGGAATATCGTTTTACGAGTAAAGAGAGGATCCCAGTAGCATAACAAGAATTTCTTAAGTCATATGCACACGCAGAATCTCTCTCTCTCTCTCTTCTCTATATATATATATATATATATATATATATATATATATATATATATATACGGACAAAAACAACTTAATATAAAATGCATTCTTGTTTCGATGCGGCTAGTAAGTTGTTTTTGTCCGTATGTAAAAGATTTATGATAAATGATTATTACTCTGCTTTTTTATTGAGACCTCATTTGAAGTAATGCTGTGAATATTAGAATTTTAGAATTTATCTTATTTTCAATTCTTATATATATATATATATATATATATATATATATATATATATATATATATATATATGAGATTGTTTGGAACAATAAAGAGCTACTCTATGGAAGACCCCTTCTGAAAGTGTTATGCAAATTACACAAACTTGAATGTCCTCTGAAAAAAATTGTGAAATTTTAAACGATTAATTCAGGCATCAAAACAAAGCTTGAGTTAATTTTTAAAATTATTTATTAAAGTTATTGGATTTCTTATAACACGTTCTCTCTGAATTTATTACGCAGATTAAACTAATATTAGTGTTAGACATGAAATTCAATAAAAATTTTCTCCATAATATAAATTGAAACATGGGTAATGCAAAAGATCTACAAAAGCTGAAATACAGAAAAAGAAATATATTGAGTGAAGGAATGTCTATGTAAGAGATATCAAAGAAGTTTCGCAGAGATCAGCGAACTCTGAAGAGGTCTGTTGAAAATATAACTAAATTGAGAACTAGAAACAAAAGAAAAAGGCTTTAAGAACTTATCTTCTCGAGGGAAACGTAAGCTAAAGCGAGTTATATTGAAACAATAAGCCTTGACCAGTGTTCAGATCTTTGAACAGAGGCTGGAATTGAGGGAGTCAAGCAGCAAGAAAGAGGGAGAATACTTCACAAATTGGGATCTCTCAAGAAATTTCCTAGGCAAACTTCTCTCGATAAA